AGAGAGAGAGAGAGAGAGATATCATATCACATCATGTTTCCGTTCCCCTCTCAGACAATATCGCGAAACCCTCTGTGTTTTCCTATTATCCTCTCATTCCCACGCTTACCATGGATCATCGGTCCGGCAAGGGCAGCGCGAGGCGCTCGAGACCTCTTCCAGGTCCTCCCACTCGGATTCCTTGCCGTTCATCGAGGTCGTACCTAAGACAGAGCCGGGTGTGGAGCCGGCGTAAAGGCTATTGACACGTTCCTCACTGGGCGACGGCAGGCCAACGTCGTCATACACACCCAGCTCGTCCCGCTCCTCCTCGTCCAGATCATTCTCGCAGTCCACGCTGGAATATTCATTGTTCGTCGCCGAGAAATACCGATGATCGTCGTTCATCGTGTTCGGTGCGAAACTCGGCGATCCGGCGATTTCCACCCTTGCGCGACCATCCCTGGACGCCGCTCGCAATTCCACGCTCGACAACTCCTCGCCGACTTCCTCGGGCTGCGGGATCAGATAATCGTTCTCGTCGACGATTTTCGGACCGTCCTGCTTAAAGTTGGGCGGCATCACGTCGTCGTAGATCTCGTCGCAGTCGTCGGTATCAACGACGGATTCCTCGATCGGACGAATTGTCGGCGGGCCCACGTCATCGTAATCGGATTCCTGACAAGAAATTTATTACTTGTATGTATTTCTTTTATTTGTCGAAAGAGACGAGCGCGTGTTGCACTTGCGCGTGGATGAATAGAATGCACGCGTCGACAATACAGAGGCTAATTTTTTATGCGATAAAGAGACGGCGCGTGCGGAGTATGCTGCTGAAAGCGAAATTCGAGGGGAAAGACTTCATGTAAATGAATCGAATTACGCATCGTTCGTGATACCATATTTCCGTCGTCAATTTGCAAGCGTGCACGTATAGCGTGGTGCGAATCGATTATTCGACATTCCGTTTCACCTTCGCTGACGGTTGCCAATTTGACGCACCGTGCGTTTAGCAATCGCGCGAAAACTATGCTCGCGCATCAACGTTCTTTTTTTGTCCGAGAATAACTTTAAATTGAAGCTATTATAAACGTCATATCTTTTTTCCCGATAATTTATTTAAATTACTTGAAAAATATCTATTTACGCACGCATTAGCTTCAATTTTTCTAGGTAACAATTTCGCACACAAAAAATCCTTCTATTGCTTCGTTTAGCGAAATAAATTTAATTTTTCTTCAATGCAAAAAAAATCGTTGGACTTTCAAGACTGCCGCGTGGAAAATCCGTCGCTTCGGAATGCACTTCGCTTCGTTATTAGAGAGAAGAGCGCAGGAGCTTGCGGTCAGTTGCGCGGAAATTAATTTCCATTCTATCGAGATTCGCGATAACGGAATCTCTATGCATACGATAATTCGTACCGCTTGAGCAATGAAGTTTGACGGTCCGACGTCGTCATACTCCTCGCTGTCGGTGCCCTCGTCGTTTTCCCTCGAGGCGTGGCACGTAGCGTTCGCATCCTGCTTGCCGTTTGGAAAACTCGCCTTCGGCCCGTGATTGCTCCACAGAAAACTGCTGTTGGCCCGTAGCTGCGCCCGAGGGGAAGACTCGCAGACCGGCTCGTACGTCTCACCTTCCGGCGAAACGGCCTGATTCTCCGTCGCGATTTTCGCCATCTGGCCGGACTCCAAAACTTTCGCCGACTGCGAATCTCTCGATAAATCGCTCTGTATCTCCGCGTAGTTCGTGCGATCGCTTCTATCTGTAACGAAATCCGTTGTCAGAAACTTCTCAGCCAGTTATCGCCAGAGGAAACTCCTACTACTCCTTGTATGAACAAAGAGATAACACCTGTACACATGCTCACATCGATTATATATCTGTCTTTAAAAATCACGCTACACGTTGTTTACGAATTTTATCAATATCTTCCAACACTTAAAAGGGACATTTTAGTATTAGTCAATTTTATCCAAAAAAACTTATCCAAACTCTTATCCAAAAACTTTTTTTTCTCTTTTACTTTTAGATATACAGAACAATGGGAAGATAATATGGAAAGATATTTTATTGTTTTGTCATTGTTTTCCGGATTTTCCGATTAAAGTAACACATCCGATAACTTCCTTAGAGAAATGTGACATATAACGTATATTTTTTAATATACCTTTCGTATATAACTACTATTTTTAAAGAATTTTTTAAGACACGATTGCCAATTAATATCTAGATTTAAATGCAATATTGAAAGTTTCGAATAACAATGGAATCATATAATTAATCATAAATAAATAAAAAAAAATATTAATATTATAGATTATTTTTCAATTATTCATCATTTTTAATATTTTTATAATAGCTATCAATCTTATTGCTCGCTAAGAGAATTGCTATATAATGCGTTTGCTCAACGTTTTCAATTATTCAACTCGACGTTATATAGATTCGAAGGCACATTTTTTTTTTGATTGCACATTTGTGCAAATCAAGCGGCATTTGTGCAAGACGATATTTACATAAATTCTTTCACGATTATCAAACTCGACGAAGAAATCTGATGTATCGAGAGAACGTACCCGTGACGCTTTCGACGGCTGATCGCCCGGATTGCCTGGAGATCACGTCGTTCACGGGAGACATTCTTCCAACAACCTTGGGCTGCTCGGCGTTCTCATTCTTGCGTCGCTCGTCCTTTCCAACGAGTAGAGGCAACGTAGCGCATATCTGCTGATGAGTAATCATGATCCGCTCCAGATCGGACCCAACCGAGTTCCGAACCAAGCTGGGATTCGTCGCAGATGCCACGTGGACAAAGTTCGTGGGTGACGAGATGATCGTGTTCTTCAGCTGGTCCCTCGGTAGGCTCTTGAACCTGTCACACCACTCCGAGGCGGTCTTTGAGACAGGTGCCGTTTGCAGGGAGCTCAGCGAGCTGCTCAGAGCGTATTTTTTCTTCAGCTTCTTCTTCTTCGGTTGCTTCACCAGATGCCGCGGCACGTAGTGCAGCACGTTCCTGGTGAAGCGTTTCTTCTTCTTCTTGTACCGCGACGAGACATCGCTGTTCTCGTTGCTGATCGAGTCCTGTTTCGAATACTCCTCGAAAGGATTTTCGTACGTGGCTTCCGTTATAGCCAAGTCATCTACAGATCGCGACTTGGTGGTTATTTGCAAAGAAACCGAAGTATTTTCCTTGATCTTGTAAATGTATACCGTGGATTCGAGAACTGTTTTGTCTGGAACTTCGGAATCGTGCGTCGAGACTTTGTAGTCTGATATGCTGATCCTTTCGTAGTCGCTAGACGAATTGGAGTCTTTCCTCTCGATCGAGCATTTTTTCTTGTCACATTGGACCTCAGTGAGATTATCATCATCGTGAGAATTCGTCTCCGTTTGTGGTTGTGCCAAATCATCGCTTTTGTCACTTCGAAAGTCTTTGGCGCGAGATTCTTTGGATACAATTGCGGAAAATGGACTTTCTACAGTATTTTCTACGTTGATTCCCGTCGCGTTTGTTGACGTCTGAATTTCCTTTCCGAGAGTATTCTCGATATTGCATTCGGTACCGGACTCTAGTATTCTGGTGGCACAAGCCGTCGACTGGTTCTCTATATTCGTGGAAGAGAAGGCCAGGCACTTGGAGGCACTTTTACACTGATTCGTCCCGGATTTCACCTAATAATGAAATGAACGTAATTAAATGGATAATTAATTGAACTAATCGCTGCAAATGTCATGAAAGAGAAAGAGTTTTTAACAAAATATAAAAAATTTTATTTTACTATAATTAAAATGCTATCTAGATATCCATAGAGAAATCTTTTGTGTGTACGCTTTTAAAATATAATATAGTGCTTTTTAAAAAAAACATTAATTATTTTTATTAATTAATGCAGTTTCTATAATAATTGATTATTATAGATTTTTTAATTGATTATTATTGATTATTATATTGCATGAAAAGCTTAGAAATTATAAAGATGGAATTAATCTTTATAATAAAATTATTTCTTTTTGATAAAAATATATTTTTTTAATTTAAATAACCTATCTTATATATTTCATTATATAAAATTTATAGAACTTATATACAGAGCAATATTTAATTTTGATATTGAATTTTGATAAAAAAACAGAAAAAAATTTTTATAAAGTTAATTCTTGATGAAGATATATTTACAAAAAAATATTATTAAGATATACAATTACAATTCTATAAAAGTAAGAATTTAAAAAATTAAAGAAAATTAAGAATTTTTTTTTGTAATGAATGAGGAGCAATTTTTCTTACAACTTTCCTCACTTTCGCAAGGCGACATTTGCCATGACTAAGATGGAATTTTGCGGTTTTATGGAAAGCAACACGTGCGCCGACCATAAGTTGTCGTTTTTTACCTGTCGCATTCCGTACCTTCATCAAACCGATGGAATGTTAGCGATACGAGGAAATCATAGTTGTCTCGCAATAAAACCGCATCGTGCGATAACAGTCGTTCGATATTGCCCGGAAAAGTCTCATTTTAGACGTAGATTAAATTTTCGAATGGAACTACTCGAAGAACTGCGAGAACTTTTTCGCATAATCGCGATAACGAGATATGAAAAAAAAAGAGAGAGATGCTCCATCTTCGCGATTCTTATCCGATGTGGTAAGCTAGCATCGTAAGAATTAACAAGCCACTCCTCCGGTTATTAGCATCCTTTTGCTCATGTATCCGCATATGCGTATCTCATGCGTATTCTCACGTACGTAAGAGAAAACTTATCCGGTCTCTTCTCTCGCTACGTAAATTCTTATTTTTAAATACACATCCGGGTAATGCGCGAAAATGTAAAAGAGTACTCTTGAATTTGAGAAATCTATTGCTATTCGAATAGCATTACACTCCATAAGTAAAGAATAGTAATTTAATAAAATTATTTTTTTTTTCAGAAATTTTGACAATTCCTAAGCACTCGAAAAACGTTCGTAGAATTGTTTTAAATTTAAAAAGCTCTTTTACTCGAAATAATTTCTCAAGCATCACAAAATAAATATTTGCATTAAAAATTTTGGCTCATTTATTCAATACGTTTGTATTTAATATTACTTAAGTATTTAATTAAATATTGTAAATATTGACGTATTGTAAAAAGCAAGTTTGGCCTAGTCCATTAAGCTTCGAACAATCCTAAGATTTACAGTTGGATTTTTCAGATTCTTTTAAAGAGTAACATACCTCGCAAGGTAGTAGCTTAGTTGAAATTTTTCCATTGGCGAGTTTCTTCTCTTTATCCGACTTCTCTGTTTTATCTGCAACATTATCGCTTTCCACAGGAAGCAACTGCAAAGGTAATCTCGTTCGTTTTAGGGCTAGGCTGTCGAGAGTGGCGTAAACTACCTTATTGGAGATTAGAGCAGCCTTGCCACTCCCGTGCAAGAAACTGCGATTGGCAGTGGGCGAATAGTTCATTCTCGTCCCTTTTCTAAGGCTCAATTCACTTTAATTCCGTGTGAACGTCACTTCAAACCTCACACAAATTGCTGTTCAACGTTTTTACGTTTATTCATTTCATTCTTTCTCAATCTGAAATCTTGAAAGAAGATTCCTAATTGCGGCATTTTTGTGGCAGTGTTCTTATCTCTCTCATTGCGTTTTGCAAATCTAAAATCTAAATAAAAATAGAAATGCATCTTATCTTATACTGTTTTTTTTTGTTTTTACGCCGTAAAGATTTTCGGGAAACTTTTACGTTATTTGAAAATTTACATTCGTACTGTCTTCAGTTCGCCCATTTCACGTATAATTTTTATTGTTTAATTCTAGAACGTCTATAGAAAATTCCTCCGTTATTTCCCGCAATGTCATCTCCGATTTTTCCATTTCACGTTATTCATTAGATCTAACTTCGAATATATGCTTTGCCGTTCCGTTCCGAAACCGGTATTGATGAGTTCGCGTTTTCACGCGCGTTATTACGTGTTCCCAGATTGCAGCACAATGATAATCACGCAAGTCAAAAGTGCAGGAAGAAAAATCATCGTCGCAAATCGCAATCCGCGGCACGAAGAGGATGTAAAGAACCGCAGAACCGTCCAAACGTTTTCCGCGGAAATGTTGATAAGTCGCATTCGTGTTTGCCCTTATCACGGGCACCGCCACGCGTGCGTTATCGTTGATCGCAATGCCGTCATTGGCGGTAGTTGTTTATTACGCGATGAATGTTACATGAATGTAACCATTTATTTTTATTATTCTTATATAATTCAATATTCGATAGACGCCTCTGAATTTTGTAAAATTAATATTGAATATGTATTCGTATATTATTAATATTAATCTATTAATATTATTAATATTATTATCTACTTACTTGATAAATGTATCTCATATGATTATTTGTTTTTATCAAATTCGATATTCAAAAAATCAATGAATCAGACAGACGGACAGTTGACGGAAAAATTTATCGCAGCTTCCGTTAATTATCATAGGAAACAAGAGCTATTATTTGTCATCGTGTAATTTGCTCGGACTTTGTTTCTCTTTTACCTATCAATAATTGCCTATTATTAGAGAAATCTATCAAAAGAAATATTAAAAGAAATGAAAGAAAAAAGAATTATTAGTGGAAAATTTTTGTCCATCTATTTCTATAGACTTATCAAATAAATTTAGATTAAAAAAAATATATGCGATAGATTAATTCTCTTTTTTTTTTTCATTGGATTTAGTTTCTTTAGGAAGTAATCAAATAAATTATTTTTAAGCAAACATACCGATTTTTTACTGTTGCTCTAGTTCATTCGGATGTTAAACTAATTATTATTCAATTATGAAACTGATTTCTGCTTTTATCTCGATTAAGTAGGTTAATTGAAGCCGTTCAGTAACTGTGACGATGCAGTAAGATTTCAATAAAAATGATAGTTCTCACATTTTTAATTTTATGCTAATTATCAAGCCGCTTATTCTTTAATAATATTAAAATAATTGTTGATTAAGGGCATGCACGTACACGTCAAAACGAACACAATAATACTTCAAATATCACGATATCACGATAAATAATGATAAATAAAAACATAAATTATTCTCCCTTTAAACACAAACTATTTTTAAAGTATAAATAACAGAAAAAATTGTCAATCGTTGTTCAATGGGAAAGCCCTTATAACATCCCTTCCGTTTGAAACCCACGTGGCGTCAACATTACAAGCGCGAGGTCGATGACGGTACGTCGCGGGTACGTTTCCGCATAAACAGCTGCGCGACGGCGGGCTATTGTCGCTTTCTTATTAACTCAGTCGCGGCACGTAGCGCGAAACTCGTCTCTTTGCAAAAAAAAAAGAGAGAGAGGATAATCGCGGCGACGAGCGGGACTGTCCGCTCGATCTCTCGTCGAAGCTACGCGTCGCGGTTCCTTCGCCGCTCGTCGAAGGAGCGGACCCGTTAGGAAGCGAAGAATTCGTATCTCGCGTACATTCGTAATCGCTAACAACGTCGTGCACGTGTACTCGCTCGTCGACGAGCACGATGCGAAACGTACGACCACGCGGCACACACTAAATCACACGACGGCAGGCGCGCCGAGCGCCGACTGCGCCAGCGCCAAACGATTATTCGCCGATGATCGAGCGGTGCGCGCGAACGCCGACAAATCACGCGGCCGCACTCGCGCCGGATTTTCGGACTGCTCTCGCGCACGCAAGGACCCGAGAGCGTACGGCCCGACTCGGCGAGGATCGTCGGCACCGCTCGGCGAGCCTCGGCGAGACTCGTGCTCGACTGCAGTACCGTAGCGCGTAGATCAACGATCCATGGATCCACGGATTCATGAATCTATGGATTCTCGCGTGCCGAGCGGCGCGTGTGATGAATTTATACGGTTCTTTCTTTTATCTACCTCCGAGAACGAAATTGAGAGATTGTTAATTATTAGAAGTAATTATATCGCGATGCTTTCCGTTATTTCATGAAAGGTCTTTCTATGTTGAAGCTTTTTTTCTTCTTAAATATATATTGAATAATAATTTTAATAGGGATTAGTATATTGGGATATTATGAAATTATAAAACTACAATAATTAAATGGAAATAAATTATTTATTTTGTACACACAAAAACATACACACATATTTATATTATAAAATATATACAAACATATTAGAATTGTCATATTAAGTTTTTTTGAAAAAGATAAAAAAGATTATAAAGTGTATAATATATTACAAATGACTCCATTTTTTTTTTCATAAAGATATTAGTAAATAAAATAATACACGGAAAGAACACTTTTGCTGGCAAATCTAAAAATTTGGCTAGATACAGATCTGAAAACGATTGAGCTTCGTTGGGCCTTCAAAATTATTATATACGATGTTCAAATTGATTGTTAGAAGATCAAACATTTTTGCAGTATTATCATTATATTTAAGTGTTCTATAAAATAATTTTGATGGGCCAACAAAATTATTTTCAGATCTGTAGCTAGTCAAATTTTTAGATTTGCAAATGTGTTCTTTCCGTGTAGATGTGACCATGTTTATATTCAAAATGTTGCAATGTTCGGAACTTCAATGGTTTTTTTTCGATGATTACTTTCTGTATACATGCGTAGTCACGGTATACGCCCGAGCATATTTTCCATCAAATATTTACACGTCGAATTGCAAGTGTTTGTGAAAGTTGCACTCGCGATTATTTATTGGTTTTCGCGATAGTTTTATTTGATAATTTTTTGGATAACATTCTTTGTACACATATGACGTCATTCGCTCAATTTGCAGTCGCACAATTTACATGTTGTTTAACAGAATGTTATACTCTCAAATAGTAATAATGTTAAATAATAATAATGAAAAAGAAAACAATCGTTGCACTTCATCTGATAAGATAAACCGAATTTTATCTGAGTACTTTAACTGAGTACCTCTTCATATTCCTCTATATTCCTTTATGAATATTTCCATCGGTGTTGATCGATGCCAGTTATGAAAATTTTATAAGACTCGTCTGCTAAAATATTGATGAAATTTTATGTTTTTAGTTAAAATTTATGTACGCATTGCGTTAAAACATATTATTTGTTTAACTACATAAGCTAGTCATTAAATATACGATACAGCATATAACATGCAGTTTTTTAAATATTTAAAAATTATATTTAAAATATTATATTGTATTTTAAAATATTATATTATATTATATTTTTATAAATGTGATTGTATTCTCTTCGAAATATTTATGTACCTTTTTTTATTATTTTATATTAATCTTCCTTTAGCTAATCTATAATTAATAATAGATTTTAGCGTAGAATTCTATTTATAATTTTGAATTCCGTGTATTTTGATATACATATGCATTGCAATATTAATTTTGTATGTATATATTTCGATTCTTCAATTATCAGCTTCTTCTTATCACATATAAAATTATTAATAATTAATAGAGAATTCTATCCTCTTCTGGCACGAATGATGGAGAGCTTAAAGCAGGCGTCAATCTCGTTTCTAAAATTTATTTTAAATTTATAATATTAAAATTAGGCGGCTGTAGAGAAAGTATTGCGGATTTCAAGGCAGATACAAGAAGAAACATTTTAAATTATTTATAATTATACTTTTACTCTAACCGCGGCGTTATTATACAAAAGCGCAAACATTTGTCAAGATTTCTCTGTTAGATACATTCCTATTAATAAAACTTTACTTTCTACCAAAAATTTTCAGTCGTTTATACAGCTCAATGCATCATTCTGTGGTGAAGGATGCGCGAGAAACAAGAAAATTGCATATAGCGTGTCCAATATCGTTCGGCAGTGATTCCGCATTCTTTTCCTGGGGATTTCTCCGTTTCGTTCTCGTGCCCGCGTGTTTTCATAATCAAACTTTCTGCTGACTCTCACGTACGCAACATAATGATTCTTTTGTGCATTACGCACGCTGTATATTTTCGCAATATTTTTTAACAAACGTCATAAATCTTACAATCCATCAATCGTCCAATTGAAATTAGTTCTAATTAGGTGATTAAATAGATGTTGTAATTTCGATGACGTAAAATATTACGATACTGTCAATTTTCATAGAAAATTATTCGCAGCAAGCTTTTATTCGAGAGTCTTTCTAATAATAATAAACAAATAAACCTGGCCAAGTTTAACTAAATTGATAAAGATGAAGTGCATGTAAGGCCTAGCTGGATCTTCTTGCTTAAATTTTCGTTTATTGAACAATAATAAATATAAACGTTTCGACCTGTATCAGGTCGTCATCTTCAGTAAATGATACAAGTCAAAGCGTTTATATTTATTGTTGTTCAATAAACGAAAATTTAAGCAAGAAGATCCAGCTAGGCCTTACATGCCCCTCATCTTTCTAATAATATTATGATATTTTCGTAGATTCATGCTCTTGATCGTCGGAGAATGATTATGAGTGAACATTTTCCAGTGTATAATATTAATATGCTTTTATTAACGCCGCCTGTAGGTATGCAAAGATGTGCAACATTTTTGCGTTTTTTTTACAAGGGCAGATCGAAGAAGTTACCCTATCATCATCTTATGCATCGTTTCTATGCATCAGATAAATAAGTTAGTTCGCAGTTTATTTATTTTATTTTTTTTCTATAAAAAAGATCTGATTATATCCCTCGCGAAAACATATTGTGAACGTACATACAGGCGTGCAGGTGTGTACGTGCGGATAAGAACGTGGTCAAAACCGTGCGTCAGAGGCAGTCAGGAATTCCTACATTCCTGCGCAGGTGAGTCTGGGACGTTGATGTAGCACACATTGGCCCCGTTCGCTCTTCCCCAAAGTTCCACCGCGTGCGGGGAAATTATAATTCCGGAGAAGGCACTTCTTGCAAAGTGGAGCATGATAAAATATGATATGATGTTCAATCGATTTATCCGCTGCCGAGCGGGGACAATGAATCGTGTGCCACTTTTACGCAGATCAGTAATACAGTCTGTCGCTGATTCAGCTCTTAGAAATAAAATTAGATCGAATGAATGTGCACTCAATTTATTTATCACATTGCTAAAGACGCGATTGGTGTTTACGTTATTTGTGTTATTTATTGTTTTTCTTGTTTTTTTTTTTTTTGCATTATCCATTTGTTGTATTTGTGTTATTTGCGTTGAACATAAATATGTTTGGCATCGAGTTTACAGTACACATAATCATTATCTCGCTTGCGTAGATTCTTAGATTGCCTACAGTTAGTCTGCTCGCCTCGTTATCACGTTATAGCTAATTTGGCAGCGCGTCGGTGAACGAATTAATTGCAGTTGCACATCCGTCTCTGCTTCAATTAAACAATTAAATCGCGCTGTAACAAGGATTTAATATTTCGAGAAGCAATGAGTGGCATTGCACAATTCTATTCTGTTCAATTGCAATTTTTGTTCTAGGCAGAAATGCATTGTTCTTTTTTTTTTTTTTTAGGAATTATTAATATTATTATATACACGCGTTAATTACTTTTTAAAATAACATCTCAGTGTTTATTTATATATTGCTCATAATTTTTTTCATTCCAAAATCACACACATTGTCAGATCTTTTTTTAAACATGCGTTGACTGTTATCTATTAGCAGACTTTGATCTCTGTGATTAGATTCACCTGCATCTGTGCAATCATTTGTTAATAACATTCCTCCTGGTATTAACTAGTAGTAAAAAGTATTTTATATATATAATAGAACACTTTTACGTTATAATCAGTTCAAGATCATGATCTGCGCGCTCCCCTCCTTTGATGCTAGAGTATTAAACGTGGCGATCGGAAAGCGTAGAATCATGATTACTAGCTACATTCAGTAGACAGTTAGCTTGCACCCGAAGTGGATTCGCGAAGTGAATTCCATCAAAATGTCGGTCGATCAGGTATTGTTTTATTTACGCAAAAGATTAACATAAATCAATTATAAAGAATTAATGAACACTGTATTTGCGAATTTTGCAGAGCTAATTAATTTTCGAAATGAGAAACTAGAGATGTTTGATTTGAAAATTAAGTCGAAATAAGATTACTAAAACTTTAACAAAAACCGTTTAATTTTGATGATAAATATTAATATAAGGATAAGAAATTATAGAATAAAGTAAAAAAGAGATTATTATTGTATCAATTCCTGATCTCAAAAATTTCATAAATTCGCAAAATAAGAGTTTCCATTAATTCCTTTTAATTGTTTATGTGTTTCTAACTACTTAACTTTAAAGTTTCTCAACTGTGTCTGTGTTCAGTCTGTGTTAAATATTATCACGTCACATTATTTGCTTGTTTCGAAATATTTGCATGTAATTCGCGAGGCCGCGGAAAGGACGAAAGCGTTATTGTATCTAATGGAGTTTTCTACGGTTAATCACCGGGACATCGTATTGCACATAAATAGAAAATGTTCAACATTCATTTATATTTTTATTGTGCATTCTTTTAGGTCAATTATTTCTCGATGAAAATATTGAGAAAATTTCAATTATAATATTCAATTAAAATATTGAGAAAATCACAATTAAAAATAAAGGGCGTTTTTTAAAGAACTATTGTATTAAAAGTGCAAACTTTACTTTTTACTTAATTGAATAAATTTTGATGTAATTTAATAATTAATTGTTAATTATTAATTACATTAGAATTAATCATTAATTCGAGTAATTAGTAATTAACTATTGGACAAATATTTTTGATAGTTTAGTAGAAACTTACGTCAAATGATTCTTCTCAACATTTTCAGACACAATAGTTTAAAGAAAAATTGACCTAAAATTAATCAAAATGGAGATAATATATAGAAATAAACCTGGGATATCAATATAGGAACATCTTCGCTTCAAAATATAAACAAAATTTATAGATATGATACATGTTTATATTTTGCATATTGTTTTGTCACAACTTCGAAGGTCATCATTGTTGAAGATATTTTTCTTATTTTTAAGAAATTCTCTATTCATTTATTACTCTTTTATTATTAAAACTAATTTTAAAACGCGATAACAATGTTGGAAAAAAAGATATATAATTTTTCTTGAAAAATTTAAATAAATGTATAAATAATGTAATATTGATTTGATTTCTTAAGAAAAACAATGTAATTTAGAAATGTTTATTATTATTAATCATAGGCTATTATATAGGCTATTGATAAATTTTTATCTATTATTTAAGTTCTATTATTTTAAATTGTGAAAACGTTAAATTAAAATCACGCATTGAAAATTTTTATATTATTTTTCTTAACAGGATTAGAGTCACATTCCTATTTTAAACTCTTTTATCTCATATTCTATATTTTCGTGTCATATTCTACAATTCTGAAACAAACGCTTGCTCATAACGTTTGGCCAATTTCGCTTTTATGGTCTTCAATTTATTGTTATCACATTAAAGACTTGTTATGCAAACGTTTTGCATAAAAAAGCGCTCGAACGTATTTGTGAAACAATTTGCAATAATCTGTTATAATAAGTTAGCAAATGTATCTTGAAAAAGAGAGAAACAAGTTTATATTATCCGACCCTGGCTTGCGTTTCGTGATAAATTTTGATTCGAGGTGGGGATTAGCGCTTTTTAAATTGTGCAAGCATTCGATCGGCGGTCACAAAGTCACTTGTAACAACGACGGTGTGATCGTGCGAACAACTAGAATGTCTCTCGATCAGGTGTTTGTTTTTTTTTTACTTCTGATCGCATGCATTATGAAAGAGTGCATTATCAACGTTGCATAAAGAGTGTATTCTCTATGTTTGCATCAATTTTTTCCTTTGGGTTTCGGAGTTACTGATTGCATCAGAAAAATGTCAACGGATCAACTGAAACGGAAATGAGTGGCGAAAATTGACCGGCGACGTTGCATACTAATTTCATTGATCTTAAATTGTGACCGTGCAACGATATTATCGTACGCATTTCTCCGAGGAGAAATTCGGGACAGGCGGTTGTTTATCATTTAATCTAGATACAGGATCCGAGGAAAGTTCGGAAGTTTCGAATTTTGAGATTACTTGCTAACGCGACTTTAAAAATTATATCAAGACTAAAAAGTTCAAATTAGTTATATGATTATTGTTATTAATAATTTCATGCGCACGATTCTGACTTGTGGTTTTGAATTTAGCCAACAATGGAAATATTTTCTTTTAAATTATTATTATTTATTGCAGAGTCATTCGAATCAAAGGTCATTTTTGTGTCATCTTTTCTGAATATCATCCATATTTATAAGCTGATAAGCATAACACGTTACTGAGATATATCATGACTAACAACGATACTTTTGCTTAAAAATTATTTTCTTAATATTAATTCTTTTATATCATAGTAATTTTCTATGTAATTAATTAATTGTTTGTAAAATTTAAATTGTTTTAAAATTATTATTCTCACAGCAATTTGAGGCAGCTGCCGAAGCTGTAAAAGCGCTTACAAAACGTCCTAGTGATGAGGAACTTTTGGAGCTTTACGCCTTGTTCAAACAAGCTACAGTTGGAGATAATAACACATGTAAATGTCTATTAAATATTATGAAAATTTGACATATAGTAATATTTAATTTTGCAAATAACTATACATAAATAATATAATTTTATATACATATTGTATTTTCCTTTTAAATTTTGTTTATTATGGTATTAAATTACAAATAATGAAATAGTTATTCATTTATTTAATCAACTTTACTGATATAATATTCTAAAAAATAAATAATGTTAATGTAAGTGATATATATTATGTAATATTTTAGCCAAACCTGGCATGCTGGATTTGAAAGGAAAAGCAAAGTGGGAAGCCTGGAATAAGAAGAAGGGCACCTCGCAAGAAGCGGCGAAGCAGGCCTATGTCGATTATGCTAATCAATTGATAGCTAAATACAAATAAATTTTATTTATCGCTGGTGGTAGTTACGTTCCTGCTGTAGTCGCAAAAAAACATATTCTCATGCTTTCTTAAATAATTCGCTTTGTTACTTATTAGTAAGTTAAATATTCCCCGATTTTTGCTACAGTTTGGTTACGTGAATGTTCCAATTCGTCCCGATAAGATGATACGATCGTTCGTAATCAAACTAAAAAAATAGATAAAACCCCGCGTTGCATATGACATGCGATCAATCCTTATCAATATATGGCTGTGCGATATAACGTTCTTCAATCGCGTCGTTTGCGAGAATCTCATACGTTCGATTCTATGTCTTCAAACCGTATGTAATACGTAATAACAATTTACATAAAATTTTACTTACAAAAAGCAATTCTCGTATTTGAAATGAAATATGAAATTTGCATTCCAAAAGTCGCAATAACTTTTTGTGACAGTTTCGTGATGCTGCAATGTTTTTTGGATTTTTTTCAGATTGCAATTTTAAATTCAATCAGACATTTTTTTCATAACGTTTTTGCACACATGACACCATACATCGATTTACAAATGTTTATCTATTCATAAAAAATATGTAAAATTTTGACATTTATTATTCTTTTCGATGGTACTATTTTCAAGAATATTTATAAATAAAAAAATAAAAATTTTGTAATCACAATATAATTCTGTTTTACAATTACATTTTGTTCAAGGCATATACATATAACAAAAATCATGATCAGCTGAGCAATAAAGAGAAAATATCATCTGAGCTGTGAGAATTAATAACAGAAAAATAATTAGTATTCGTACGTCAATGCATAATTATTTGAGATGATAATTACATATGCTGTTCAATGAAAATAATCATCTCTTAATATAATTCAGATGTGACCTCGATGTCTTTAAATTTACATTAATTAAAAATCTCAAATAAATATTTCATCAAAATCATTTATTGAGCAAAAAATAAAATGTTTTTGATTTTCTTAACTTTCTATGTGTTTGAATTTTTAGCAATTCAAGATTATTCTGAATTTTTTTGATATTCGTTTAAAAATTCAATATTTTTTACATTAATCTAGAATTTTTTTCTCTAAAAGAAATATCAAGATTTGATCGATTTTATTTATTATTGGAGAGGAATTAAATTTGGTAGATGTCAGTCATTTATTATTATATATATAAGTAATAACTACATAAGTAAACACTACATAAGTTGTAATCTATAGTTAAATTCAGATATAAAAATGGGTTCTATTGTTTTATTCAGACGAAACATATTTTCATTTAAAATTAATCAAGCTTTCTTTCCATACATTTTTTAAGCTTCTAATGAGTTTTTTTAAGCTTCAGAGTTTTAATGTCAAATTCTTTTCTTTCGGATTTATTTGTCTTAATATAATAGAGAAGCGTATAGCCTTGTAGGAGAATGGAAATTTGTATTGCAAAATACATATTGAGCAATAAGAAGAGCAAATTTTGTGAAATAATCTTAAATCATTGTTTAATTTCTAATTTGTTATTGTTCAAAATCTTTTTCTGAATTGGATTCTACTTATAAAAGATAGACTTATAAAACAATCATTTCTGAAAAGTAATTCTAAACAATACAAAAAATATAAAATATTTCTATTTTAAAAATTATTATGTTATCATTTATATTTCTGTAATATTTAAATTAAACATTTATATGTCATATATTTAGTTTTTATATAGTATGACGCATATTTTGTTAATTAATTACTTTTTTTTAATACTAGAAGTTGATATTTAGAAATAGAATTTTTAAAGAGATATATCATTCTTTTTCTGTTATAGATTTCACTTAAAGTATTGTATGTTAATATATTTTTATTATTTTACATTTATAATACTTGAAAAGTGTTAGCTTTGTGCGATGAAGATCAGAATTAATTATTTAATAATAATTTAAAATAAATAAACAGAGTGACAAATATATTGTATAAAGACAATTTAATATATTTAGAATAAAGAATCAAGATAGTTTTTTTCATTTTGTATATTGACATAATATTCTTAGAAATTAATGATATTCTTAATGATATTCTAATGATATTCTTAAAACTACTTTAACAAATATGCAATTTTAAATTTTATTTTAAAATTGCATTACAGTGAATATTTTTCAAGCATTATCAATGTGTCATTATAGATCACTATTCAAAAAGTTTATCTACCTGGCGAGTTGAATTAATAAATTAAAATATGTTAAAATACTTTTATGACAATCTCATAGTTTATTATGTGACATGAGAAAAATCGACTCTATTCTTATCATCGTCGCTTGATTCCGGTGATTTCTTTTTTCCAATATTACTGTGCCACATACCATACAGGAAATATATGCCCAAACCTGTAAAATCACATAAAACACGATCCGAGATATATAAATACCAATGCACTTGAAAATATACAAACATTTATTTGTTTTCTTGTAATATATTTACCAATAACTATCCACACGGAAAATTGTATCCATGTTTGTTTATCCAATGTCATCATGAGATAAATGTTAATGAGAATACTGATTCCTGGCAAAAATGGTACTAGTGGCACCTAAACATTTAAATTAACTTAATAAACATTGTTATTGTTTCCAAACACACTATCCATGAATATACAATCTTATTGTTTTCCACTTATTTTCTCTATGATATAAAATATGATAAGTGTACACGTAGTATACGTATGTATACATGTATACACACACACACACACACACACACACACACACACACACACACACACACACACACACACACACTACACACAC